TTCAAACTGGGCACCATTTCATTCACAACACCTGTCCCATTAACCAGGAATCAGAATCACTTTAATAATCCCAGGGAGAAATGACTTTCGTTACATGACTCCATATGTAATAGAGTGACTATAGGACCAGTTTGATATAACACAATTTCATACAATATATATAATTAGGGCGTCCCCGCTCCATTTCGCAATCAGTTTGGGGGTCCTTGGCCTCGAAAACGTTGAAGACCCCTGATTTAGATGATTAGGTGAATAGCTCGTTTAGAGACCTTTTTCATGATATGCTAATTTTGTGAGATAGGAATTTGGGGTTTTCATGAGCTGTATGCCAAAATCATCTGTATTAAGACAATAAATGTCTTGAAATAGTTCATTTAGTGTGCAATGAATCTAAAATATATGAATGTTCAAGTTTAATCGTTACATTATGGGAAATAATTAACTTTATCAGAATATGCTAATATTTTGAGAAGGACCTGCATATCAGTCCAGGATGAGGAAAAACTGCATTCTTTCAGATGTGTTTTTTATTACCATGTAAACACATCATCCATTAATCAGTGCTAATCTATACAGGAACAGTGTTTAGTTCCAGTTGGGCTTTTAAGCAGCTGGTTTTATGCCTCAAATCCACTGAAACCGCTCATCTTAATTACAGATAAACAAAGCAGAGGGACAAGTATCAGCTCAGGTTTGTTTTGACTTCTGAGCCACTGTGGGTCAGGATGGTTCCGGGTAGACCGAGACCTTTGATCCGAGACTTTAAAAGTCGCGGTTCTAAAGTTTTCTAAAGAGGCTGGTCAGTCAAAGGTAGAGAATATAAGCCATCCTCTATTGGTGCCTTGTTAATAGGGGCTTAGAGGTGATCAGGTTAGATGTCGCTGTCATTCAGAGAGTTAGCTGCGGTGTTAGCTGCTGTGCTAGCTTCCATCTGACAGTCCGGCTGTTTTAATGTAGCATTGAGACCCATAAACCGGTACCGTGTGGCTCCGTCACGCCCCGGCTCTTACCCGGACTCACTGTGACCTCTCGGAACCGCCGTTCGGCTTCCCGCCCGAACCCGCAGATCTCCACGAGACTGCGCTCCAAAACAGCCGCCATCTTCTCCTCTTGATCACGTGTCAGGCGCGTAGTGCGCGCGCCGCTCTTTCAAACGCGGCTCTCTTCTTCTTCTTCTTCTATTATTCATTGGCGACTTGTAACCAGATGGAGAATTAGCGCCACCTGCTGTATCTTAATTTAAAAAGAAAATACCAAAGCCTGATTTTTTTTTTAATGCAGTTTGTTGTAGAAAAATGAGATGCGTGGTGTTTATTCTTCAAATTTCGGTCTTTGATTTTAGTATTATTTGCTCACAAATAGAAAATGTTGCACAATGTCCAACTGGCTGCAAGTCTCACAATTTCCATCTGCCTTTTTACACATAGGTTCAAGTTCCAGCTGAATGTGCCTCCTGTGACTGTCCTGCTGAAACATGAGAACAATATTTTTTATTGACCATATCTGTTTAATTCTGAAGGGATATGAGACAATGGCTGTCTCTGAAAATGACAAATATTCCAGTTTTCAATAAACCATACAGTGTTCTATGTTGTTGGTCTTGATAATCAAACATCTGATGTGGTTAATATCGTTGTCTTGTTAGCTAATTATAACATACACTGCTGTAATAATTAAAATAAAATAATTGAATTTATTGATCTCACATTGGAGAAATTAACCTCTGCTTTTTAACTCATCCCCTTGGGGAGAAGTGGGCTGCCACTGTGCGGCACCCAGGGAGCAGTGTGGGGTTAAAGGTCTTGCTCAGAGACCCAGAGTGGCAGCCTGTGGAGTGGGTATATATATATATATATACACACACATACATATATACACACACATATATATATATATACACACACACATACATATATATATATATATATATATATATATACACACACACATACTCACAGGCGTGTCTAAATACGTTATATTTTCATTCCTTGCTCCAATCCTTTTAAAGTTTACCTTACTACTTTTCTTGCCACTTTAATTTTGTTATTGTGTTCAATTATTTGTTTCATTTCAGTTTTTTGTACCTCTGCAAGCTTTTTAATAAATGCTTTATTTACAATAAAATAAAAAATTCTTAATTTACAGAGAGACGCAGCAAATTAACATTTTAAGGTAACATAAAATCAACAGATCTATTCTAGTATCTTTGCAACCTTAGGTGGAATTTTGTTCTTTTAATGCTATATGTGGTGGTACCCACAGAAATATAACAAAAACACCAATCATTTGAATTTGGAACAATACCTGCTGCATTTCAAAGAGAATATCTAATCTATTATTTGATGCAGTTTTATTTTGTCTTGGCTAATGATGAACAGTCTGAACATATAATTCCCTTCAATGGTCTTACTTTCTTTATACAATGCATTACTACCTCCATGAAACTGAATCCGGTTCCTTTATTTTATTTTTTTTCTAAACTGCCCAGTCTGCTTTAAAAAAAAAAGCCAAATAATCGTCTACTTATCACCTTTATCAATGATAGATTCCCATGTTTTGTCCCTATTTTAAGCATGCGTATCTTCTTCATTTTACACTTCATATATTCAGTGAATAAATAAATAAATGCCTGCCCTTATATGATGTGCCTCAGTAACATCGCCAAATCTGAACTACCTATTCCTTAATCCTTTGTTAGAAGTCACCCATATAAATAAAACTTTTTGCACCAAGTTTTCATCATGCACTTCTACCCCTAAGGGGCCAAACCTGCTCAAGAATGTAACAAAATTAAAACTGTAAAATCTGCCTGCAAAACAATCATGCCTCACAACAAACAACTACAATATAGCACACTCAGGGTTGCAGTGAATGGTATCACACAGATCTAGTGTGTTGGCTTTGAAGAAACAACTAAGAATCAAAAGTGAGAAACCGAAGTATGGAAGTCCAAAAAATGGATTGGTAAAAATAAACACATTTTCAAAAATGGAAGAAAAAAAAAAAAAACAAAAAAACCCAATCCTAGTCTCCTCAGCACATAGACTGCCTAGACCCTTCCTGTAAAGAGCATCTGTAATTGCTGTAGTCCAGTTAACTGTTAGGGTGAACACCCAAGTACTTCTGCATCTTATGAGTCAGCTTCCTGGATAGTGGTGTGGATGGTCTGCACCTGTAGAAATCCCAAACTTTCTTGGTTTTCCCTGCGCCTGAGAGGTGTGGTATTCGGAGTTTTACCTTTGCACTTTCAGGAAAAAAAAAATGGCACTAATGCTGCCAGACTTGACGGATATATAGTGATATTTCTTCCATTTTAATAATTAAATAATAATTACGGAATACTTACCCATAAAGGCCAGTACAATTCAAAATGTCCTAATTTTCAGAAAAAAATGACCAGTTATTTCCATTTCAGCGGAAAGAGCCTCTGTGCAAAACAAGGAACGAAATAGCTGCATGTTTGAAACAGAGATAAAGTGGCACCATCTGGTGGACAAAGCAAACCTTTTTATATTTTCAAAGGTAGGTAGCGCTGTAAAATCAATGATCTCTGGATTGTTTACAGTTGAGTCATAAACTAACTTCAACATAACATAAATAATGGTCTGTAGCTTAAAACTGTTGAAATTCTGCAGGGATAAGTTTTCCTTAAGGTTACAAAGGACTCAGAATACACAAAAAACAACATTCATTCCAAATTTAGTCACCCATTACTCTACAAAGATTTAGATCAATAAACCAAAACATGCAGCTGATGAAGATTCCGTGTGTGATGCTGTACGAGAGCGTTGATGATACAGACACAGCGGGGAAAACAATGATGTATGATCTGGGTGAGAGAGAATGAAGATGTATAGTGAGGATGTGTGAGGATGATGATGCTGATGTTGCTGATAGAAGAGGCGAGGCGCTTGTCAGCGAGTACAAATAAAAGCAGACATTTATTGTGTCAGATCTACTGTACATGTGTCATCTTACAGCAGCACAGTGACTCGTACAAAAGGATAACTGGAATGTTTGTTCAGTAATACTGACGTGTACCATATAAAGAAAGCAGTCTGTTACATCATCATCATCAGAGGTAATACATCTGCTATAGTACCAGTCCACCTCAGCAGGTGGACAGCTCCTGGTTCAATGGAGTCCATGCACGGCTCCCTGCCGGCCAAACAAAGTCACGCGGCGCTCTTAGTTGGAAGCTCCGTGCTGTTGTGTCTCGTCTTGCGAGACGTGCCGTCGTCTCGCGGTCGTGCTTTCTGCAGGCTCGACATGGCGGCCGTGCGCTCAATATCTATGAGGGCGTACATCTCATTGCGCCGTGTGGGCGTCGTAGGAGGCAGCGGGGAGGTGGGGGTGCGGGGCGTGTGGGGGTTACTGCTGTCCGAGGTGCCTTTGTTTCCGCCGCCGCTGTCCATCTCCACTTCAATGTAGTTCAGAGTTTTGGGCTGCTCCATGTGGCCCGGCAGCGGCGGCCGGCGAAAGTCAAAGTTAAAAATGGTGGGTCCGTCGGTGCGTCGGCGGGCCGTGTCGGGGCGGTGCGCGCTGAGCGGCGCCGTTACGTTCTCTGTGTTGACATAGTTGTGCGAGGGCTCAAGGACAGCCGACAATGGATGGGACAAGGAGTGCTGCAGCAGGCTGTGGGTGTTGTGGTGGTTGAATCCGTTGAGCGATGGCGTCTTCAGACCGCCATCTGGGCTCTCCTCCTCCTCCGCGCTCGGTTTCCGGGCCTCCCAGACCGGGGGCAGCACTGGCAAGTTTTCATAGTCCAGGAGGGCGGTGCGCCGCTGCGCTGAATTGTTGACATTCTGCAAGTCGGGTGTCAGAGGAGGGGGGCGGTGACGGCGCGGAGCCGTGGATGGGTTGGAGGCAGAGCCATTGGAGTGCGGGCTCGGCGGCTCAGCCGGGGCGGGGGCTGGGATGGGGCCGTTAGTCTCTTGGAGCTCAGTGGCTTCCTGCAGCTCCTGTTGTCTTTTCTTTTCCATCTGTTGCTTCTGAACAGGGGTGGGGCCCAGCACAAAGCGCACCCCCTGAGGCTCCAGCAGCACCTGGGGCTCCGGCTGGGGGACAGGTGCCACTGGTTCCACGCGGGCCCTGGGAGGAGGAGGGGGTGTAGGAGGGCACTGAGACTGCGGAGAGGTGGGGCTCTCCAGGGGGGTGATGACGGTGAGCGGGCTGGGCTGGTCCTCCAGGAGTCCTGTGGTGTTCACATAGGTGTGCACCTGCAACACAGAACCCAGCATCATCAGCGTACGCCTTGACTTCACACCACAAAAACACAAGTTGCACACATCACAACAGTCATACCGCTTCATCAGCCACAAGCAGCGGGTGAGTGGACTCCTCTCCCACGGACGGCAACCGTGTGCTGGCCACAGACGGATGACGGGTGGAAGGGTGAGACGGTGTCTCACCCACGGAGGGCAGCCGACTCACCCCGTTGGGTACCGTCGGTACAGAGTAACCCAGAGCTACAGAGACAGAAACGCACAGAGCAACATGTGACGTCTGACATGCAGAAGTTAGAAATTCCTGATTAACATTCTGAAGAGCCCATAATGGGAGAAAAAGTATTCAGTGTATGTATGCACCTGCAGGAGTGAGCGCCCCCTGCTGGTTAGGGTCAAGAACGGCCTCTTCAACCACAGAGATGCTGTGATTGTGCATCACCTCCTGCAGCATATTGAAGATCTCTTCAGCTCGTGGGCATTTGAAGGCAAAAATACCTGCAAGAGCAGACAGAAAAATGAAAATTAGCTGCACAGGTCTAAGAAACGGATCACAGTTTCACGAACACAGGTTTAAGTTTAACTGGAAGAGGCAAGGTTGAGAGCATAGGAGAAGGAGCTTTTTGATGAGTAGTCCGGTTAACTGGACATCATAGGGACATGTAACAAGTATTCAAGTACAAATGCCCACTCCTTCCCTCCCCAAGACTGGACAGAATCTGATCTGCCCCTTAAAAGGAAGCAGGAAACCCCAGCGATCCTTTTTGTTATTCTATCGTCACTATTTAAACTCCAACAAACAGCACTGCCTTCTACGAGATGCAGAAACCTTTTAGCCCAATCCTCTGACTGGTCAGACAAAACAACCTAAGGATCTGCAGGACAACTGTGAGACAATAAGACAACCAACAGATGATGTCATGAGTA